GGGGAATTTTGATAAATGGGTTTGTTATTTAAGATATGGATTTAGGGATGAATAATATTTACACAAGTCTGGTTAGCGAAATCGCTTCTTGTTACGCGAAATTCATGATATAACGGAATTCGCAACACAGGCGTGTGCCAAAGCTTATTTTACGCCTGCATGCCCATTTATGAAAAACAAATATTCTCGTAAAGTCAAAATGTTTTAAATAACTTAGTCCCTGCAGTGGCGTTTTGCCAGTGATTGCGAAATTTTAACTTGGACACATCCGTACATGAGATGTATGCGCACCTCAAAGCTGAATTTGAAATCTTTAACTAACAGAAGGACATAGAATATCTTTGTGAAGTTTCAGGTCTCTGCCTTGTCTGCTGCTCAAGTTCAACTTCCCTCCAAAAAATTTATATATTTTTGAGGCATTCGTGCATAGACCCAAGCGTACGCAAATGATGGTATTAAAACAGGAGGGCGACACTTGGGTTAGATGCTTCAGAAGTTTAAGCTTCCTAGCTCCTCTGGTTCTCGAGTTAAAAGTGGGTGACAAAACGTGCGAACACACAAATACACACAGGAAAGCTCTTGCTAATATGGCAGGAAAACTCTTTTTGCGTTTGCATAACATGCAAAAAGACATAAAAATTATTGGTAGTTACTCCAACGGCAGAGCGCAGAAGGCAAGCACGATGCACCAAACCGGGAAAAATAGGAGTCAAAAAGAGCCAGGTTTAACTGCAAATATAATTTGAGCTAATTGAGAAACTGAATTTGACCGGAAATTCCCTTAAATTAACGATAGTACGCAGCAGAAGACCGGCACGAGCATGCTTTTTGTGCAGCCCGATATTGCTGAGGAAATGAGGGCCATTTTTGTTGAGATATGCAAAGCGTGGGTCACATTTCCTCGTTTTTCGAAGCCCAGATGATGCTTAACTAGCTGAACTGTCAGTCATTTCAGATGGAAACGTTTTTACCACGCATCAACATCAAGAGCCAGAGGCGTTACCGCTACACTGTATTGTTACGATAAGAATCATCAGCCAGTACATACCAGCTGCCTCATTACTCCCTGCTGCAACTAAACCTTTCGCTTCCAGAAATGCAGCTGATTGTCGGTGCAACTTTTTGAGCGGAATTGGTCAACTTTGTGCAGCAAGGGGTTTTTTAATAGTAGCATAAGCTGGTTGGAGTAGAGAAGAGGATTATTTGCCTCCTCTTTGTTCTCTTCTCACCCTACTACAGCAGCACTGTAGTTTAAAAATGTCTTTGTTTCGAATACAAGTAGCGAAGTTTGATGAATCTCATAATTTTATGCCTTATTGGTTAATTGGCACAAAAGCGAAACCAGTACCCATATGTACCGCGATAGCTTTTTTTCTTCCTCCTCTTCTGCCTCACCACGTTTCCATCTGCCTGTCTTGAAGGCAAAATGTGTCCGGCTTCCTAAAAAATCCTAATTTTTTCTGTGCTTTTTATAAATTTTCTGGAAACGCTACCTGGTTTGCATTTTTCATTAAATGATAGAATCAGAAGCATAGCAACTGTTAATTATAACTAACTTCCTTGGAACTATTGGATTTAACATCTTTCGAAGTGAAAGTTGACCGATTTTCGTCGGCAACAAGATTTGTGGAATGGGAGCTGGTACTGCTGGTCACAGAGCCGGAAACACGCTGTTTATTGAGAGCAGCCAGAAAGGAAGGTTAACCTGCCACCTGGAAAAATAGGTGCCTCGGGTGAGTCATCGATGATTCATTCCGAAATGCGGAATTATTACCGCTCCGGTCCGACGTAATTGTCTAGAACAGCATCTCTTTCGTCTCTACCTCAATCCTCCATTTGCCGTAGTTTCAAGTATGTTTCCGATAGTTGAATGGGGTCGTATAGAACCTGTGCCATTGGGTATCCGCAGATGACGCATCCCTTTCGTTCGTCTCAATCGCCATTTTGAATGATTCTTTTTTCGTTGCAAAGCTTGTACTCATCAAATCTCTCGTTCAAAATTATTAAGAAATGATTTCTTCGCAAAAACGATGTAGAAATCTGTAGCATTACTCCCGATACTTTACCTTAATTCGAGGGATTATTACAAGTACCAGTATTTTCCTTCCCGTCTTCGACCACTTAGACAGTCTTCAGTTATCTTGCATATATCAAAAAAAAGAGCAGTCGAGAGCCGTTGCCAAGAAGTGCTTGTTTTTGATTAAAGCTTTTCACGCCAGTGCTTACGCCTCGTTCAGTAGAGAACTGGAAGGAAAATTTAGATGCATCTTTCGAATTTGTATATTCTTGCACATGCAGAATGTGGCTGATTGAGCGGGTTCATTAGAAATTTAATCCGCTTATCAAACATCCGATGAAGCGAAGGCCAAGATGCAGAGGAATTAGGAGCGATTTTCATTAATTTCTGTGGTGTAAGAGATAAAGCCATTAGATTTGCAGTTCCCTTGCTTTTTGATTCTAAAAAAGCAGAAAAATGAAGTCAGTAACTAAGTCTCAAGAAACGGTGAGAAAAAAAAAGATCTCCGTCATAAAGCTGTGCAAAAAAAAACATGCTTTCATTCGCTCCTCTGGTGCACACCACAGTTTCGCGTTCACAAATTGTGAATTTTGCCAGTTCTCCATAAATCGATGTGCTGAACTCAGAGCATTTTTCTTTTCAGTTTCCATTTAGTGCATTTCAGAGGCATGCGAAACAAAATCACAGGATGCTCCGCCACTGATGATTGGACTCGTTAATGGCCGATGAGGATTGCTTTCAGTGTGTTGTAGTGGTAAAGAATGAGTTAGCGGTGCTGCGATAACAGTCAATGAGTGCTGCTGACGAAGATCCAGGCAAATGCAGTCGGAAAACAGCTTTGGCAATATTCTTTCTGCTTGAGCTGATCGCTTATTTGCTAAGCTGTATTGCACTGATAAGTCCAAGCTGGCAGTACGTCTATCTGGAGGTACTCTTATCTCATTGCAATTTCGGCGTTTTTATCTTTTATCAAAAGGTAAAATATGGCTTGCATTGTTAAGCTTTTCTTGGCAGTGCATTTTTGACTTAGAGATAAAACGGGAAGTGCGATGCAAAGGCCTAAGCCCAAAGATATTATGTAATGGTTGTGTCTGTTTCTTGAACAACCCTGCGTGCAGTGTTTTTATTGGTTAGCAACGCCACTTTGGCCAAAAAGTTTTGAAGCTAATATTCGCCCCAGTGAAATATTCGCCTCAGTGACATAAACTAGTACAATTGGAAACATCTCTTTACGCTGTCAAAATTACTGGAGTAAAATGACGATTTGATTGAAGAAGGAGCTGAAATGAGCTTAAGAGGCGTCAAATATGCTCGAATCGATTGCTCGAAGCTATTGTTTCTGCTGTTATTCTTACTACGGGAAAACCGGGAAGTCGAACTACAAATGCCAATTTGACTGTGAATGAAAGTTATTCGAATGATAAGGCAGTTGATTTTGTTCGCTGCATTCTAGACTTATGTGACACGGTTTTCGATTGTTGACCAAATCTGTTCACATTTTGTGTTGCAGAATGGACGTACGGAACATCACCATGGTTTATGGCTTGACTGTAAGCGAGATTATTCGCACGATTATGGTCGAAGTCGTGAGTATTATGAGACACTTTACAGGTCTTTTTCAGCTTTTTTGATTGAACTTTTTTATCATATACGTTCAGGAATCCTTGTAGTATGGGAAAAAGAAGGGGCACAGGAGAAGTGCAGAAGTAAGTCAAGAGCTCGATTCTGAATTATGCAAATTATAGGCTGGATAAGCAGCAGTCTCCGCTCGATCAATTTTTCCTCACATCGTTGCTTTGCGTGTACAAATTTGATTATTACATTGATTCGGAGGATTTATTTGACCACAACCATGACGAGAATCGCCTCCAGGATGATGCGAATCAGCACCTGCTCCTGGGTAGGTAAAATGTACTTCCGGATCTTTTTCATTTCTGCTGCAGTAGTTCACTTATAGCACCTTCAGATTATCCATATCCAAAATTCAGTGGAATTTTATAGCTGATAAGAATGAAGCCTGGAGAACTGTAATCGGGAAATTGTTTTCAGGCTGGAAGTTGGCATCACTGGCGGCTTTCGGGTTCGCCACATTAACAGCCGGTGCTGCGTTGTTACTTTCAGTTTGTGCCTTCTGTCATCGTACTCTTATTTGTGCAGCAGCTGTACTCGTCACCGTTGCTGGTTCGTTTTTATGCTTTTCTGCATAAAAGAGAAAAGGCGTCATGACTGAATCGTGCCTCTATTTAAGTTCAGTTAGTCCAGCTTCAAGGCTTTCAGAGCTAGAAAGCTGAGATTTCAAGGGCATGATTCTTACTTCGAAAAAAACCAGAATTTTTGCAAATTTCACTGCGCATTACGGAGTCAGTCGGAAGCACTTCGAGTACCAGCTAGTACTATATGTTGCGCTACGAACTGAAAAGCAACTTTCAGCTATCTTTTTTTCTGATCTGTTCCTTCAGGCTCAAATTTAATGGTGTTATAGGATAAAAAATCTTAGAAATGAGAAATTTCGAAAACTATCCAGAGACGAAGCACAGTGAATGGTTTTAAGGAGGACATTTTAGTGTGTCCTTAGGTACATTAAATTTCTAGCTGATTGTAATTTTAGACGAGCTAAAAATAAGATGTTTTGGGTTTTGTAGTTTTAGTTCATCGAATGAAGTAAAAAGGAATATCCTGAAATCAACTTGTACAAGCTGATATTATTCTAGGCTGTAACCTTATATGCATACAGAAAAAAAGCTGAATTTCAATTTTTTAAATACGCTAGGCTAGTCAAGAAGTTTTAATTAGGATATCCTACTGTAAAACTTTGCGAATGCACATCCAATTATGAGAAGGGGACACTTCTTTTTTCAAGAGTTTTCTTTCGAGATGCTGTTTTTACCTCAAAATTTGCTACCTTTCGAAATTCTTGTCATAAGTGACTTTATCTTTAGTCATTTACTTTGATCAGCTGCAGCCTCTAACGGCAGCTTGTCCACCTACTTTGATCACTGATCACTGCTGTGTGTTTTGGTAGTTAGTGTGCTAGCGTTCGTTTCATTTCTATTGGGATTTTGAACTCAGCAGTTCATCCTTTAGAAACATTTGCCAGAGCTTTAACCGTTTCAAGATGTCACCTATACGTGTTGAACATCATAGTTTCATCTCGAATGCTGCCCAATTTTTGATCACAACAAAGTGATATTTTACTGAATTGGAGAAGCTGCTAACTAGAAAGTAAAAATAATTTGCTCATTGAAAATGTGATCTCATCGATGTAGATAGTATAACGAAAAAAATATTGCCTGAACTTGTAGATAGTATTTCGATTTTGCCACTGCTTATAATTCTTGATAACATTTCTAGCGTTGCTGTCGTCCGCAGGTCTGCTAGTTTTTTATATCTGGGCTAACTATCAAGATAACAATATCATAAAAGAAGAGGATGGCATCTATGAGGTACACCGTTCTGAGTAATTTTTTTTTTTTGTTGTGCATGTCTTTTTTACCATAACATATTACTAGTTTTCTGCCCAAATACTTGTATGCTTCTTTGTACGTACCACTCACTAATACGTACCGTCCAATGGGTTGTCAGAAAGACGAGCAACATGCCCTGTTAGTCAGAATTTACTTCTTTACTTGATCGAAATGATATCCAGTGCGCCACTCATCTTACAAAGAGTCCGGTTTATTTGTATAATCACGAAGAGCCACATCAAGCATCCTTCGCTTCATTGTTCTTTCCGTCCCCATGAAAACACACGGTGGCACACATATATCGAGGAGACGATAGGTGTTAAAAAAAAGTATGCAACCTAAGACCGAGATCCCGACTTACCTGCATCCGGCATGTAGGAGTATCCCAGTACAATCGCTATCGAGAGATCCCCACACCAATCGTCCGGACGGTCTTTGCATTGTTGGCATATTATTAACTTGCATAAATGTAAAAGTTTTTAAAAAGGTGTGAACTATTGCGTCAGGAAGTTCAACCAAAATAGCTTTGAAATTAATTATTAGTTATGAATTCACACAAGTTGGGTCTAAGTATCAAAAGAACCATAGTTAAATGAACAGAATTGGGAAAGGAGATCTACCATTGTGTGAACACCGGCGTACCATGTTTATCTTAAAGGATATCATTCGCGTTTCCAGTCATTTATAGTTTTAGAATTGTCACAATATTCGAAAATGCTTCACTTTCCTGTATTGTATTTTAGCAACATTTTGGGTGGGCATTATACATGCAAATTGCTGGCACGTTCATCTATTTTCTTGCTTCGTTTATGGGCTGCGTTACAACCGCAATAGCATTCAAAAAGGATCGAGCTAAACTGGTCAAAATCGAGGTTATTTTCTTAAAACATACTTCCCATACTGGTACTTATTGTCTGATCGGTTTACTTTGTTCTCACATTGCAGGTGGTTGACGGGGATGAATCAATTCTGCTGGACAAAAGCTCCTCTCTGCCATTCAAGCGTTCGTTTTCGGCAGTCTACAAAGTCGACTCAGCAGCACTAAGAAGATGGGAAAAGGATTATATGAATCTTGTGAAGTCCGGAAGCGCTGCCAACCGAGTACTATAAATCTTTTTCGCTTTCAGATGCAATTAGTTGCACACAACTGATTTCTTTGTGATTTTAATAAAATTTCATTTTTTGGTATTGCAAATCAAGTGCTTTCGCTTCTCCCAGAGACTGAATGCCAGGACTTTTGTCTTTTTGAGTGTCGTAAAAACAATGTTTTCCAAAATTACTATTTCTTGCCTCGATACCTAAAAATTTCAGGTCCTAAAATAGGGTTCCGGATTTTGAAGGACCTATTCAGTATTCAGTTAATAAGGCAAATTTATTGATGGCATTTATTTAATGGCATTCCTAAACCAGGATTTTGCAGAACAATTTCAAGCGTGCTACTTCGGTTCCGAATTTCAAGAAATACCCAAGAGTGAATCAGAAGAGTCCGGACCAGCAAAAAATCACGAAGTCGATCTCAGATCTGTTTACGAGTACAGATTATTGCAATTTCAGCACCACAACCAAAACATTTACTTCAACGGCAAGAGCTGGGCCATCACCAGCACCGCCAACTCCTAAGGTCCACTTTTCTGTTTCACTAGACTGGTTCGGTTTACCAGTGTGTTAAAATTCAGCTAATAGTCGGCGTGGGCTGCAGCCCTATCCTTCGTCCATGGATCGTCATGACTATCAAATAGACTTACAGAGAATCAAAAATACTGCTGATTTTATCAACATGTGAGTCCAAAATCGAAGGATCTGGCACAGTTGCACCTGGCGTATGAGAGCATTCTAGTGACATCACTAACATAGAGTATCTCAGCTGATTGTCCGAACAGTCCTGGTATTATTAATGATCTTGATATTCTGTATTTTCTATTCGTCACATGAAGCTTGATGTCTAAAATGGTGGGGGAGGGTCAAAACCCGTCAAATAACTGGACATCCTCTTCGCTCCTGCTGTTCAAAGTTTAGAAGTATAAAAGATATCTAAAATCCGAGGCTTCAAGAATGGATTTATCGGATGCTTTTATGAAGATCAATTGTTGCTGTAGCAAAAGCATATGCACAAGAGTCACAAATGAGTGTCTTTATTTCTTTGGGAATAGAATGAGTAAAGAGCTTTGGGTTTAAAAAAGTCATAGGAAAGGAAAAAAATGGTGAATCAGCAGTGCCGCGCTGAAGGAAAACTGTGCTGAAAGCTTGATCCAGAAGCTTCTGATGCAAGGGATGTGTGTCAAACAGTGGCGAAATCACATGCTAGTCGTCTGTATTGCTTTTGTGCGCGGTTAAAAAAAAACAAAAAAAAAACAAAAAATAAAATATGCAGTATCAGCTTGTTTCAAGGAAGCCTAAAATTAAGGGGCAAATCAGCGAAGATACGGTCACTTCACCGCTTCAAAAAATTTTTTTTAGTCGATTTTAAAAGCATCGTCGAAGCGAGCACCATCACTGTCAGAAGCAACTCAGCACCTAAGCGATGATCCTGACTTAACTTATGAATACTTGCCATGCGATTCGGTGGGCAAATCACAAAGTATGGAAACGATCACCAAATCAGTTACCCCGTTTACCGATACTGCTGATATATACGATCAGAACCGGTATGCTTCAAACACTTCTGGAAGCTGTTCACTGCGACCAGGTCTAGATATCGCAAAAAGACATACTAGAAGCTGCAGCTTTACCAGTCACCTGTAAGCAATCCTCTGCTCGTATTTCTCATTTGCAGGAGTACCCTTGATTCGCGAAATCACCCAGAAACGGCAGTAAACGTGTACGACAAAGTATACGAGCATATCCCAGATGCAATAAAACCCGGTGTGTATGAGCAGCCAAATAGTTATAGAACTCGAAATCCGGTGACTAGTCCCGGCGAAGCATTCACTTGTTTCGGTATGATTTTGAACATTGTCAAAGCCCTCGGCCTGTCGCATCTTTAAAAGTTGAGGATTGGACTAGCACACATTCCCTACGCCTGTGCGTGTAATCAGTACTTAGTTATAAATATATAGATTTATGACTATACAATAAATATCAGCTATACAAAGTAAATTAAAATAGGAGAGGAAGAATGTGGCGATGCTCTGGGCCAAAACAGGGTGGTTGATTTGACGGAAAGACGAAGTACGAGAACAACAATGGAAGCTGGAGGCGAAGAAGAGTGCTTTTTATACCCTGGTCTCCACCGACCAAAGGAACTGCATAACTCTAAAGGGTTTAAATGTCCAAAAGCTGTACGGGGGCCGTGGTTGTTGCATCATAATGACACAATGACTTTTACGAAATTTTAACAAAGTAATAAATAGTTACATGATAAGCCATGTGCATGATAGTTTGCAGTTACAGTGTGCAGCTAGAGGAAATTCAGAGCATTGAGCTTACTACTGCGAAGCACTGGATTGTGGTAGAGTACTCAGATGATTTTCAGGACAACGGCTGTTAAGTGGAAAAGAAAGTGCGAAGAGTACACTTATCAATGATGTACCCAGTCAAAAGTTCCAAAATACAAACGTCCAGATATCCGAAAAGTTTAAATTTTACGTTCTTTTTTCCCTGTCATCCAATGATGATGTATCTGTAGTGTTCAGAACGTATTCTCTTTTATGATTTGCCCGAAAATTTCGCAAGCTGATCGTACTTTTGCACCTTTGCTTTTTTCATTGAGCCTGGAAGACACCACCTGGGCGTCCGGCTGTTGCTGTTGCCAGCGTGTGGTTCTGAATCAGGATTGAAAAGGGTAACTGCTGTGCAGCTCGCTGATACTGACCTGTCAAATGTTGAATGAACTCAGATATGCCTTAGCTTTCTCTCAAGCAGTCTTAATCCAGCTGGTGAATAATTTTAACAAGCAGATATCGCTCCGATGAGGAACAGGAGAGTTTGCTGCCTCGGCGAAAGGAAAAAGTGAAGGGCAAGGAGACGGGTTTTGAAATAGGACTAAAAAAGACGCCGTTCCATTAAGGTGACTAAGTATATATTCAGATCAACTGTTCGACAATTTGCTGTAACGAACAGCGTTCCACACGAATGGCGCTGTCCGACTGACGGACAACAGAATTTGGCAGACCATTCCAGTAAAACAGATGTGTGTTCCGGATATGAATCCGTACTATTTTGAAATTGAAGATCGGAGTAATTTTGTAATTGCTTGGAAACTTACCTCGAAATTTTGGAATCAAAAAATTTTCCAGTTTTTGAGCTGTAGCGTATTGTACGCATTGCAGAGAGGTGCAGCTGGGAACACAGCGATTAAAACTTGTCGCGAGTCGAAATCAGCCTCACCAGCACTGGACTTGCGAAATTTTGCTGTGGAGCAAAGAGGAAGCCCCTACTCACCCTCGCAACATTCGTCCGGAGCTGGCGTGAAAGATGTCGTCATAAATACGTTCGATATCGGGACGTTTGCGGCAAGGGAGGGCCAGAAGTGTGACTTGAAAATTTTGATTTAATTCATTCTGGTCAGTTTCTCAGCTGTCAGTTGCAGTGCTGTTTTTTCATAGGTCAATTAAGAATTTGGCGTTTCGGCCAAGCGAAAACGAAAACGTTGAAGAGTTCGAGCGTAGCGACTCATCGGGGCCAAGCTCTCTGGGCACCTTTACATCGAATAAACGAAGGAAGTCAGATTCTTTGATAAAAACCATTCTCTCTGCAGGCGCCGACATGGAAACAGCGCGCAACTTCGCGTAAGTGCCTCAGCAAATATTAAGTTAAAATCAAAAAAATTCCAACTCTGTAATTTATTTTCCATGAAAAGCGGAAACACTCGGAAGTAGCTCAACTGGTAGCATGTGCCAACAACAGTCACTCACTGGCTGTTTCGTTGCTTGCCTCGTTTTCTGAGAGTTACTTATAAACAGTATGCAAGCGGTTTTGTTCCTCACTTGATCATCGAAATGAAACCCATCAGTCTTCAACGCCATTTGTGAAGGTTGGCAGTAAAATAACGTGAAATACAAGAAATGGGATGGCTGTAGCAGGCTTTAACCCGACGAGTTTTATATTTTTTTTTTTTTGATTTTTGTAAAAAATCAAAAAGAAGAAAATGTATTTTTAGATTATTGCAAAAGTGTAAGGCAGTGCTTAATTTACTGCAGACAAATGATAATTTATAATGTGAAAACAAAATTGTTTTTCATTTCATTTCACTGAGAAAAGCTCGGATGACATCGACAAAAACGTTTAATGAGCAATAAATTTTAATTTGGCAGCAGAAACACAAAAAAATTAAAAAATATTTTCGGGAAAAATTACCATTGGTCGGATTTTTTACTACTCATTCCCTTTTCTGTTTTACTTTCAGGTACCTCAGAGATGAAACGGACCGTTCCGTTGGCTCCTCAGCCACGCTGGAAAACGAAACAGTGCAGGATGAGAAGGATGACGAACGGTGTGAAGCGGAACTACGGTTAAATTTGTTCATGAACGCCGCTGCTACAACGCCTTTAGTTTTCGGAAGCAATTTGTCGCAAGCCAAGGAGAGCAATATTACCACTGTATAGCACAAGTGCCCTCAACACTTCATTTTGCTTGCTCATTCTGCTTAAGCTCTTGTTACTTTTTCTTTTTTTTTTCACCCTTTAGTAGTAATGAACCTGAAAAGGGTCAGTGAATCCACTGTGTCCAACTCGGGCTAACCATCTTCGAGGAATGGCACCTGTAGCTCCTTGCATGACCACTCGCATTGGGATCCCAAGTTCCATCCACCCTTGCTTCCCCTTTCCAAACACGGAGGTTCCGGTTAATTTTTCTTTTTTATTATATCGTGAACTGTACACAAATATGTCACAGATACACTCCTCAGTACCTCCAGATACTGCTTCTCGACCGACCGCCTCACAGTGCAAGTATCTGGTGTTGGATGATAATTTGGAATTTGAACTACCGGCATTCATAGCTCCTTTCAGTCACATTTGCTCATTTTTGATTGCGGTTGTAATGCATTGATTGTGTTTGCGCATTCAACAAAGGTCTCATTGCTGATAAAGCGCGTCATCTTTCATGAAGCACAGTTGCACAACATTTTTCCAGTGGCACTGAAAGGATGGCATCGGTATCAGTTCCCAAAGGAAGCAGGCAGGTGTGCAGCAAGCTTAGCACGCATATTCCGAACAGCAGTAGCAACTCCATGGCGTGCTGAAAAGCGGTACAAAAGTGAAAAGTGATACGCATGTGCTAGTACCAGTACAACCCCGAAGCAACATCGAGAAATATAGTGCCTTTATTTCACCTTTTCCTGCTTCTCCCTCTCCCCGCCTCCTCCGTCTCC